CATCACAAATTTTTTTTTTTTTTTTTTTGGAGAGATTTTCGCTATAGGGCACAAGCGCTCGCCAGACAGGCAGAGAGAGACATAGAGACAGAAAGCAAGAAATCACCCCCCAGGGGGGTGGTCACGCTGCAATCCCTTCTCCTCCATTCTCCTCTTAGGATCTTGGGCACACACGCACATGCGCCCGGCATGAGTTTTAAGCCGCCGGGTCCGGGATGCGAACCGAGGTCGACTACGTGGGAATCCAGCAACATAGCCATTACACTAACTGCTGGTTCCCCACTCTCACAAATTTTTAAACACAATAATACTTTATTCTAGTGAGGGTATATAAAAAGCATATTAAGGCTATCCTTTTGGTGAGAAATTTAGCAATATCTCTCAAGAATTTGGATGTTTTTTTCCTTCAGTCTGATAAAATTTAGTATCAGAAAGACAATTTCAGTGACATTTTTCAAGATGGAAAAATAGCTTTCTGCACACAATGATGCTTATGTCAGGTTTGCTTGAAATTATGGAAAACTAGAAATAATCTAAGTTTCTAAGAAAATGGGAATAGTGAGATCTGGCATATTCACTAATTGGTGCTTTCTTACTGATTTAAATTTGTTTCAAGATTCTATAGTGATACAAAAAATTTTCATACTAAGGTAAATAGTTTATGACTCACTATCACAACTGAACTATATCACATAAAGAAAAACTAGAAAGAAATATTAAATGAAAGAATGGAAAAGACTAGAAGAAAATCATCAAAATATTAATATATTTGGTTGTATTTTTTGTTTCTTCAGTTATTTGGTACACCATTTAATGGTGTCTCTTTGACTTCTTTGCATTGAGACTGCATGACTCTACCCTAGCCCGTCCCTTTTCCATCTTCAACTGTTCATGGCAGATTGTATCATGATGGACACCTGACTTAAGGTGGGAAAATTAGATTTTCTCTGGGACTGTAGAAAATTCAGCAAAAGGAATTCAATTTGTACGCATGTCCAGGACTGAGAAATACTCAAATTTTAGACGGAAGATGCAGCTATCTTCCCTCACTTGCACAAAGAAAGTCAATTTTGTGCTGACTCAATGGCACAGCGATAATGCTCAAGTGAAGTTGAATTCATATGGAAGACTGGATTTGGTTCCTCAGTTTACATGCATATGCTGGCATGTGTGTACCCAGTCCTGGCTGGATGAGAATGCAGAAGTGGTGGTTTATGGTGTGAGAGACTGTTGTGGATGCTTGTTTCTCTCTCTTTCTCACATTCATGAAAGAAATCAATAAACTTAAAACAAGAAAAAGAAATGAAATTTTCAGAAAAGTAAGAGTAGATACCCAAAGAAAGAAACAATAAATCATGAGATTCTGGAAAGCAATAGTTTTCTGGAGACGTTCTAATTTCTGGTTCTAACCTTCATGAAGCCTGGTTGTGTACCATGAGATATTCTTGTGCCTTATAATTTGTTATTTGTTTTCAAGCCAGTTGCTGTTACCTGTAATTAAATGTTAATAAATAAGAGACCTTTATTTTGAGTATTTTTAAAAATGTCTGTCTTTGAAAATGAGTGAACACTATCATATTATTTTTCATTAATTATAGTGATTGCTATATTTTGAAAAAGCAGTATATATTTTATTAAGAGCTCTGGTTGATATGCCATTTTTATCAAGTTAGAAGTATAGATCATTCATGGCCATAGGACTCCAGTGTTTCACCTGATCTTTTCTCATTTGGGGAAGTTTGATAGTTTTATTTGGCTCTAACATGCAGGTATTTATTTTAAGCAAACCTAATATGACCAATTTCAATTTTGAAATGGTAAAGGGGATTACTGTCCATTAAGATGGGTTCTCATCCAGCCCCTTCTCACCTTTGTCATTATCTAACCTCCATTTCTGACTGCTGGCCAGGTCAGACAAGAATTACTTTACCATCATTTAGCCATTAGCAATACTTACGGATAAAGCATCAATTACAGAGGAAATTACTCATAATGTATTGTCCAGTTTGAAAATACAGGTTAGAAAACAATGTGCATGATTTAATCTTAGTCATACAAAAATTATAAATAAATGAAAAAAACCTGGAAAGAAATGTTTCTTAATTTAAATGGTGGAATGTCCTTTAGTATTAATTGTGGTATGTGAGTTGCAGCTTTGTAGGTAATTTATATTTTTCTCTTTGTACATTTTCATATTTTCAAATTTTCTATAGTATATATGAATTTTTGGTAATGAAGTAACTATAAACATTATATTTTTAAAGCTTGTTAATTCATTTAATTCTTCCATGATAGAGACAAAACCTGAGTGTCTTGACACTATGATCCATTCCCATTCCCAGGTCCTGGAATGTGAACCCAAGG